CGGTAATTAATATAATCTAGGAAACGTTGTCACGGTAATTAATATAATCTAGGAAACATTGTCACGGTAATTGCAAAGGTCTCTTCGGCAGTACCTGTCTCTTATACACATCTAGATGTGTATAAGAGACAGACCATGTTCCAACGGAATAATCATTCTCACGGGCCTCATTGCACTACTCTCCACATGCACAAACGACAAAAAATATGGCAGTGTATCTTCCCATGTTCTAGCGGAAGATTCATGCCCATTTTTCACATTTGGTGGTGCTGCGAGGCCCGTTACTCACATCAAGACTTCTTTAAATTGTACTGAGCTCTGGCCGCTCATCTACGTTGATTCTGGCCATAATTGTGGGCAGATACATCCAGGAATGTCATGGCCTGAGTACGACCAGCGACAGTCTGACAGACACGAGGACACACTGTCAGCAGTGTCAGGATCTGAGACTTTGAAGATACATACAGTTACTCGCTGGTCAAAGTAGGACATTGCAGCATGTATGTACTCGCAATTGGAGTCAGGTTCAGGAAGAACGGAGGAAAGGAGGACTCCGTGCGTCTGCCTTCCTTCATGCTGCAGAAATGTGCATTGTATCGTCATCCTACAGCGTCCTGCAGAGACTGTCCGTCACGGGCGGACTTCGTCCAGAAAGGAAAGGACGAATTTGCGACCCTCGCCCGGTCACACGGGCGAGGACCAAACAAAAAGATGGAATTTGATTTAAATTTGTCTTTTTTTTTTTCATGCCAGTATAACGCGTGGGCCTTCACTACACCGTAAATGTTTCTGGTCACACTTCCAGTCCCTCTGGAGGTGGTCTCAAAAAGGGTCCTCCGGCGGCCCCGCAGGCCACTGACAAAAGGGTCACCGTTTGAGGCACTTGGGTAGCGGGCCTCTCCAGTGTGACCCGAAAGCTGACTCAAAATTTGGGATTTTGGGTCTTTTGGTGCTCGTGTGGGTATGCCCAGAGTCTTTTTTTGCACATTTGGTGAGTATTGGAGCTGTCTCTTATACACATCTAGATGTGTATAAGAGACAGGATCTGTGAATTACCAGACGGGGGGGGGGGGGGGGGGGGGGAGGGGGGGACAAATGCTCCAGTCTATTCCTGGGGAGCAACACGTGCTGGGAACCGGGCCCAGCTTCCCATATAGAATTATACAAATGATTTGAAATACCAGGGCCATTTCCCAGAGTCTGCTGAACCCAGCATCCCTTTTTTTCTCGAAAACAAAACGATAAAAGAAAATCCATTCAAATCCACACTTTGCACAGTCTCTGTAGATTGGTTGTTATTATGCACAAGCCAAAATAGATTGGTTGTTTAAAATTCAAAAAAAAAAAGAAAACAGAGGATTGGTTGGGCTTAATATAATAAGCCTTTTTTAATTTCAGAATAGGGGCCACAATGTTTTTTTTTTTTTTTTCCCCTATTGGGGAAGATTTCCGGACCTGCTCCTATTCCATGTTGAGCAAGGACAGGTGCCTGGGCCGAGGTCCCACTAGCAAAAAGGATAGGATAGAGCTCCTGAATCTGGATGTGTTTTAAGCACAGATGCAGAAAAGCAGTTCAATCTCAATTTCCTGCACATCTCCATAAACTCGTCCAGATGCAGGCATTCGATCCGATCCTCTTTGCTAGTGGGACCACGCCCCTGTGTGTTGACCTTCTCAAGTTCCTGTTTGTGATAAAAGTCTTCAGCCTACTGTTTTGGGGGTGAATGGGAAAAAAAAAAAAAAAAAAAAAAGTTTGGGGCTGTATGGGAAGCCACCACCTGCTTTTGGGTTGGGACATTTCCTGTCCCCTTTTTGAACTTTTTCGGAGTTTTCCCTTTCTTTTTTTTTCTCTTTTTTTTTTCTAAAGTCTCCCTGACAAGTGTCCAACGATCAATGTCTGCCAAAATATGTAGAATCAGATCCTGCCCCTTTTTCCTGTTCTTTT